GGACACAGACACAAATCAGTCATCATAGCCTCCACTCAGAGCAGAGACACACAGTCCCAACTACAAACACTCACATAAACCTTCCTGCACTAAAAGACAGTGCACACTTCACTGCATTCTTCTGCAGACATTTGCAGCTCAACTCACCTTGGATCCTGTGCGGATGTGTCCACTGGAGGTCTGATTCTGGGATTTTATAAATGTTCGGCTGTGTCACTAAGCCCAAATATGGATTATCTGAGTATGAATGGAACCTAAAGAACCAGCTAAACTTACGGGCTTATCAGTCACATGTTACACAAACACACGCGTATAGACACAATCATGTCCAGAGGTGGGAAAAATGACACTTGTTACACTTATCATCATAATGTACAAACATGTATATGTATGAAAACCTAGTTAGCAATAAAATGACTCTGATAGCACTTGCAGAAGTGTAAAAGCTAAAGGCAACACCTTTGCATTTTTTTTCATTTTGTCCAGAAGAGAAAGGACAAAATAAACTCTTGACATCTATTGCAGTCACTTTCCAATTTCCATAAGGTGGTTGAATCTAGTTTGTAACAGATGCATACTGCAGGAGTCTTCTAAGTATTTGTCTAACAAACACACACACGCACACATATATACATCTATATATTTAGTTAAGGGTTTTTCTCTATTGTGCTATTTTCCAAAATGTCGAATAAAACGACAAACATGAGCACTGATAAGATTCATGGAATCATGTGTCAATTAAAAAAGTGTGAAACAAGCCAAAATATGTTTTGTATTTTAGGTTCCTCAGAGCTGCTGCTGCTGTTTGTCTTGATGGCAACGTTGTACACTGCTGTTGATAGGCCAACTGTGTGTCTTCTCTCTCCTGTGGTTTGTGTTTTGTCCTGGCTGCAGCACTACAGGTTTCTGTGGTTATTGACCTCAGAAACCTGCACAATGTTTATTGTTTGCTGCCCCTTCTATCTTTGCTCTCTCCTCTCACCCCAACCAGTCGAGGCAGAAAGGGTGACTGGCTCCCTGTTGGAGGTTTCTCTCTACAATACTCTAAGGTCTTGACCTTATTATGTGTAAAGTATCAAGAGACGACATAC